TGCCGTTTGGCCCGGTTGAACAGCAATTCGTGCAACTGCACTTCCGATGCGCCGGCCACGCCTGGCGCTACCGCCCATCCCGTGAAGATGACAGCCGATGCCAGCAGCATCCGCCCCAAAGTCGATTGGACCACGTTTCGTCTCCCGATCATCTGCGCCCCGTCTATGCGAGCCTAGCCGGTTCGGTCGTCCGCATAAAGCCGCCGACGCGTAAAGAATGCGTCAACCAAGATGAAGAAACCATGAATGCGCGCGCTTTGGCACCAGCCAAACGGAGGACATCGCTTTCGCATTGCCGCCCGCCATACGCCGCGCTAAGCCTTGCCCCATGAAAAAAGGCGATCACCTGTTTCTGGTCGACGGCTCGGCCTACATCTTCCGCGCGTTCCATGCCCTCCCGCCGCTGACGCGCAAATCCGACGGGCTGCCCGTGGGTGCCGTCTCCGGCTTCTGCAACATGCTGTGGAAGCTGCTGCAGGATGCGCGCGACACCGATGTCGGCGTCACGCCGACCCATTTCGCGGTCATCTTCGACTATTCGTCCAAGACGTTCCGCAATGAGCTTTATCCCGACTACAAGGCGAACCGGTCCGAACCGCCCGAGGATCTGGTGCCGCAATTCGGCCTGATCCGCGAAGCGACGAAGGCATTCAACCTGCCCTGCATCGAAATGGAAGGCTACGAGGCTGACGACATCATTGCCGCCTATTGCCGGATGGCCGAGGAGGCCGGCGGCGAAGCGACGATCATTTCCTCCGACAAGGATCTGATGCAGCTCGTCACCGATCACGTCTCCATGTATGACACGATGAAGGACCGGCAGATCGGCCGCGAAGAGGTCCTTGAGAAGTTCGGCGTCGGCCCCGAAAAGATGATCGACCTTCAGGCGCTCGCCGGCGATTCCACCGACAACATTCCGGGCGTACCCGGTATCGGCCCGAAGACGGCGGCGCAGCTGCTCGACGAATATGGCGATCTGGACACGCTTCTGGAGCGCGCCTCCGAGATCAAGCAGAACAAGCGCCGCGAAAACCTCATCGAATTTGCCGATCAGGCCCGCCTGTCGCGTCAACTGGTCACTTTGAAGGCCGACACGCCCGTCGATATTCCGCTGGACGCTCTGGCGCTCGAAGCGCAGGACGGCCCGAAGCTGGTCGCCTTTCTGAAGGCGATGGAGTTCTCCAGCCTGACCCGCCGGGTCGCCGAGGCGACCGGAACCGAGATCGGCGAGATCGATCCGGCCCAAGTCGCGGTCGAGGCGGGCGCGCAAGCGCGTGGTCCGGATCTGGACGCCGGAACCGCCGACGGCGCTAACACCGTTGCCGGCGTGATCGAAGACGGCGTCGACACGCCGCGCGCGCTGGCCGAAGCGCGTGCCACGGCAGCCCGATCGGGCGCTTTCGATGCCGATGCCTATGTCTGCATCCGCGATCTTCGAACGCTCGACGAATGGATCGACAAGGCCAGGGCGGCCGGCGTGGTCGCCTTCGACACCGAGACCGATTCGCTCGATGCCATGCAGGCGACACTGGTCGGGTTTTCGCTCAGCCATGCCGAGGGCGAGGCCGCCTACGTGCCGCTTGCCCATCGTCAGGGCGAGGACGATCTCCTCGGCGAAGGCGGCCTTGTGGACGGCCAGATAGGTCTTGATGAAGCGCTGAGCCGACTAAAGGCTTTGCTGGAGGACCCGTCGATCCTGATCGTCGGGCAGAACATCAAATATGACCTTCAGGTCATGGCCCGTCACGACGTTTCTATCGCGGCCTTCGACGACACGATGCTGATCTCCTATGCGCTCGACGGCGGCAACAACAGTCATCACGGGATGGATGCGCTAGCCGAACGCTGGCTCGGCCACACGCCGATCGCCTACAAGGATGTCGCCGGAACGGGCAAGAAGGCGCTGACCTTTGACCGGGTCGCGCTCGACGCGGCAACGCGCTATGCGGCCGAGGATGCCGACATCACGCTGCGGCTCTGGCGTCTGCTGAAACCGCGTCTGGTCGCCGAAGGACTGGTGTCCGTCTACGAGCGGCTCGAACGGCCGTTGATCGCCGTTCTGGCGCGTATGGAGCGCCGCGGCATTTCCGTCGACCGGCAGATACTGAGCCGGCTGTCGGGCGAATTCGCGCAGAAGGCCGCGGGCATCGAAGCCGAGATTTTCGATCTGGCCGGCGAGAGCTTCAATATCGGTTCGCCCAAGCAGCTTGGCGAAATCCTGTTCGGCAAGATGAACCTGCCGGGCGGTTCGAAGACCAAGACCGGCCAATGGTCCACCTCCGCCCAGGTGCTTGAGGATCTGGCCGCCGAGGGCCACGAACTGCCGCGCCGGATCGTCGACTGGCGCCAGCTGACCAAGCTCAAATCCACCTACACCGACGCCCTGCCCGGCTTCATCAATCCCCAGACCGGCCGCGTGCACACGTCCTATGCCCTCGCCTCGACATCGACGGGCCGGCTGTCCTCGTCCGATCCGAACCTGCAGAACATTCCGATCCGGACCGCGGAAGGCCGGCGCATCCGCACTGCGTTTGTCGCGCAAAAGGGCCATCGGCTGGTTTCGGCGGATTACAGCCAGATCGAGTTGCGCGTTCTGGCCCACATGGCCGACATCGGCCAGCTCAAGCAGGCATTCGCGGACGGCATGGACATTCACGCCATGACCGCATCGGAGATGTTCGGCGTGCCGGTCGAGGGCATGCCCGCCGAGGTGCGCCGGCGGGCCAAGGCGATCAACTTCGGCATCATTTACGGAATCTCGGCATTCGGCCTTGCCAACCAGCTCGGCATCGCCCGTTCCGAAGCCGGCGACTACATCAAGACCTATTTCGAGCGCTTTCCCGGCATTCGGGATTACATGGACGCGACCAAGGCGTTCGCCCGCGAGCACGGCTATGTCGAAACGGTCTTCGGCCGCCGCGCGCACTATCCGGACATCAAGTCCTCCAACCCCCAGGTGCGCGCCTTCAACGAGCGCGCGGCGATCAACGCGCCGATCCAGGGATCGGCCGCCGACATCATACGACGGGCCATGGTTCGTATCGAAGATGCCTTGTCGGCTGAAGACCTCGCCGCGCAAATGCTGCTCCAGGTCCATGACGAACTGATCTTCGAAGTGCTCGAGGGCGAAGTCGAAGCGACGATTGATGTCGTCCGCGATGTCATGGAGCAGGCGGCGATGCCGGCAGTGGCGATGAGCGTGCCGTTGCAGGTCGACGCCAATGCCGCCCACAACTGGGACGAAGCGCACTGACCGCCTGCCGGCTTCCGAGGACCCGATCATGACCGCAAACGGCCGCAAATCGATCGCGCGCAGCGACCTTGAGCGTCAGGCATGGCCGGAACTGTCCGGCCATGCGCTGGAGGTGCTCAAAGCGCATGGCACCGAGCGAGCGGTTGCTGCGGGCGAAGTCGTCTGGGAGGTCGGCCGGCCCGACTATCCGTTGGTTCATCTGATCGACGCGGACATGAACATCGTCGATCGCGGGCGTGACGACAGCATCGTGGTCACCATCACGGCGGGCAACTTCACCGGCGAGCTGGGCCTGCTGATGGGCCAGCACACATTCTTTGCCGGTGTCATGGCAGGCGCGGGCCGCATTCTCACAGTGGATCCGGCAAAACTGCGCCATCTGGTCGCCACGGTACCCGAGGTCAGCGACATCGTGGTGTCGGCCTTCGCCGCGCGCCGCAAGCTGCTGGTGGAATGGGCCGACGGCGCGCTGACGATCATTGGCGACGAGAACGAACGGACCTGCCTGGGCCTGCGGGAGTATGCCAGCCGCAACCGCATCCCGTTCCGCTTCATCGAACATGCCGACCGCGCGGCGGTCGATGCCTTTGCGGCCGGGCGGCACGACCTTCCCTCGCGCGGCACCGTCGCCATCGTCCGCGGCGGGACGGTGCTGCACGATCCGAGCCCTTTGGTTCTTGCCAAGGCGCTCGGTTACGAATTGCTGCCCGATGTGGATGAACTGTTCGATCTGGTCGTGGTCGGCGCCGGACCCGGCGGCCTCGCCGCCGCGGTCTATGGCGCATCCGAGGGCCTGAAGACGCTGGCGATCGACGACACGGCGATCGGCGGTCAGGCCGGCACCTCCTCGCGCATCGAGAACTATCTGGGCTTTCCCACCGGCATTTCGGGCAGCGAACTGGCCTTTCTGGGAGAGATCCAGGCGATCAAGTTCGGAGCCCGCGTTGCGGTTCCGCACCGGGCGACCGGACTGCGCAAAAAAGGCGACATCTTCGAGATCACGCTGGAATCGGGCGATGAGGTGCGCGCCCGCGCCGTGGTGATCGCGGCCGGGGCCCGCTATCGCAAGCTGCCCCTGTCGAACCTGACCGACTACGAGGGAAACGGCATCTATTATGCGGCGACCGAACTGGAGGCGCGTTACGCCAACGGCACGAATGCCGTAATCGTCGGTGGCGGCAATTCGGCCGGCCAGGCGGCCATGTTCCTGTCGCGCCATGCCGAGCACACTTATATCGTCGTGCGACGCGACGGGCTTTCCGAGACCATGTCCGATTATCTGTCATCGCGCATCGAACGCGATCCGCGCATCACGCTGGTCACGCAAAGCGAAGTGACGGCGTTGCGCGGCGAAGGCGGGCTGACAGGGGTTACGTTGACCCACATGCAGACCGGAGAAAAACAGGACATCGCCAGTGGCGCGCTTTACGTGATGGTCGGCGCCGAACCGAACGCCGGATGGGCCGGCGGTCTGGTCAGGACGGATGAAAAGGGCTTTGTGCTCACGGGTGCCGATGCGGACAATCCCTCATCGCCCTTTGCCACCAGCGAACCGGGCATTTTCGCGGTCGGCGACATCCGGTCCGGCTCGGTCAAGCGGGTGGCGTCGTCCGTCGGCGAAGGTTCGGTCGTCGTGTCGGCCGTGCATGCTTGGCTGGCAGGTCAGCCAGGCAATGGGCCGCTGGCAGCCGAGATAAAAAAGCCGGCTAACAAATCATAAAATTTGGCGGTTTATCGTGTTCGCGATTTAACACTCCAGCTCACCGCTTTCGAGCGCCTCATAACAGGCGAGAACGTGGTCCGCGACGGCGCGCGAGCATTCGCCGGCATCATGTCGAAAGCGCATCCGGCTCTGGTAGGTGCCGAGCGGCGGAAGCCCCTGCTTCTTGCCAAGGCAAATCAGCGGCGGCCGGACACAGGAAGCCGGCAGCGGTGCGATGGCGAGGTCCGACATCAACGCGGCACGTTGTCCAGCGGTGTGCGCGCTCATATAGGCGATGCGGAAGTTGCGGCCCATCTCGCCGAGCGCCTCCACCGCATTGGCGCGCCACGAGCAGCCCTCTTCCCACATCGAAACAGGCAATGGCTCGCGCTCCCACGCGCAGCCGCCCTTCAGACCGGCCCACACAAGCTGTTCTTCGATCAGCACGACCCCGTCTGCGGGCAGTGCGCTTTGCGGCCGGGCGGTGAAGATGACGACATCGAGGTCGCCGCGGTCATAACGCGGCAGGAGTTGGTCCGAATTCTCGATCACCACGTCGACCGCCACATTGGGATGCGTTTCGGCAAATCGCGTCAGAACCTGGGGCAGCAGCCGTTCGCCATGATCGTCGGCGGCACCGAGCCGGACCGTTCCTTGGACATCGGGCATGACGAAACGCGCCATCATCTCGTTGGACAGCGCCAGGATCCGGCGCGCATAGCCGACAAGCATCTCGCCCTCTGCGGTCAGCGCGACCGAGCGCGAATCGCGTGTGAACACCGAGACGCCCAGCAAGTCTTCAAGCTTCTTGACCTGCATCGAAACCGCCGATGGCGTACGAAAGACCCGCTCGGCCGCTTTTGAGAAGCTGCGCGTTTCGGCGATGGCCAGAAATGTCCGCAGCAGATCGATGTCGACGGGCGCGTGCGGCGCGAAGGGTTTGGTCTCGGAGACGTTCATGGAAAACCTGTGTTCAAGAAAACTGAATCATAGCGTCAAATCGTTTCGTTTGATTGAAGCATAAGAAATCGTCACAGTCCACCCATTCCGGACAAGCCGGATGTCTGATCCGAAGGAGTGGACCAATGACCGTCTTCGACAATGAACTGGCCCGGCACGCCACCGCAGTGACGCCCGGCGCTCTTGCACGCCGGCTGACCGCACAGGCCCTGGGCTGGTTCGTCACCCGCCGCGAACGGGCGGCCGAACACCGCCGTCAGCGCCTCGACCGCCAGGCCTATTGTGCGCTGCTCGGCAAGGAGGACTGGGTCTACCGGGACATGGGCGTGAACCGCGCCGACGTGGAATGGGCGGCCCGGCTGCCGCTCCATGTCAACGCCGCACGTGAGCTCGAGCGTCTGCGTGCCCGCTCCGGGATGGGGCGTTGATTGGCCCGATCGACCAGCCCCTGCGCCGTCCGGCATGCTCCCGGCCCGCCGGACGGCGCTTTCGGTCAAACCTGATCGGATCACGGACCCGTCCGGTCCTTGCCGGGACAGGCCGCTGCGCGATAAAAAGGACGCATGTTCCCTGATCCCAGCCCGCCAATGCCGCCCGGCGCCTTCCTGTGCCCATGAGCCCCGCTCCCCGTCGCATCCTCTTGTTGGGTGCCACCGGAACAGTCGGTCGCGCCACGGCCCATGCGCTTGTGGATTGCGGTCATGAGGTGGTCGGCTTCGTCAGGCCGCGCCATGCCGGAGGACGATCGCCAGACGCCGCAACGGGTATGCCCGACGCCGTCGTCGTCCGGTATGGCGACGTGACCGATCCGGACTCGCTCGCCAGCGACGGATTTTGCGGAGAGCGCTTCGATGTCATCGTTTCCTGCATCGCATCGCGAACAGGAGCCCCCGGCGATGCCTGGGCCATCGACCACGATGCGAACCTGAATGCGCTGCAACTGGCCGAACGGGCGGACGTAGCTCATTTCGTCCTTTTGTCGGCCATTTGCGTGCAGAAGCCGAAACTGGCCTTCCAGCACGCCAAGCTGGCGTTCGAGAATGCGCTGATCGCTTCGGGGCTGACCTGGTCGATCGTCCGCCCCACCGCCTTCTTCAAGTCGCTGTCGGGTCAGGTCGAGCGGCTGCGGCAGGGCAAACCTTTCCTCGTCTTTGGTGATGGTCGGTTGACCGCCTGCAAGCCGATTTCCGATGGCGATCTGGCCCGCTATATTGCCGGTTGCATTGATGACCCGGAACGGCACAACCGCATATTGCCCATCGGCGGTCCGGGCGACGCCATCACGCCGCGCCAGCAGGGCGACTATCTGTTCGCTCTCCTGGACCGGCCGCCGAAGTTCCGGCACGTACCGGTCGCGCTGCTCGATGCAATCATCTGGACGACAAGCATTCTGGGCCGCCTCTCACCCGAACTGGCGGCCAAGGCGGAACTGGCACGTATCGGCCGCTACTATGCCACCGAATCCATGCTCGTCCTCGATCCCGTCACCGGGCGCTACGACGCCGAGGCGACGCCCTCATTCGGAACCGAGACGCTGTACGGTTTTTATGACCGTCTGGTCAGGGGCGAGGTTTCGGTCGATCGCGGCGATCACGCCGTTTTCTGAGCGGCGCGGCGCCTCAACGCCATGAAACCGAGTAGAGATCCAAGCGGCGGTCGGCCAGATTGCGCACCGACCCGCCTTCGCGCGCCGCGTCCAGCGCCGCCATGTCGAGATCGGCTATGATCATCTGTTCGGCCTGCGGTTCCGCTTCGGCGGCGATGCCGTCGCGCGCAAAGCCATGGTCCGATGGCGTCAGCACCGCCGATTGCGCATAGGCCATCTCCAGATTGTCCGTGTTCGGCAAATTGCCCACAAGGCCCGATGTCACGACGTAGCACTGGTTTTCGACCGTGCGCGCCTGGCAGCAATAGCGCACCCGAAAATGGCCGTGCCGCGTGTCGGTGCAGTAGGGCACAAAGATAATACGGGCGTCCTGGTCGGCGAGCCGGCGCCCGAGCTCCGGGAACTCGCTGTCATAGCAGATCATGACGCCGATCCGCCCGTACTCGGTGTCGATCGCATCGGCCCGCGCACCGCCGTCGATTCCCCAGACGCTGCGTTCATCCGGCGTCGGATGCAGCTTGTGCTGTTCGGACAGGCGTCCATCGGCATGGGCGATGTAGCTGACGTTCCGCGCGGCACCGTCTTCCAGGCGCGTCGCGTGTGAACCGCCGACGATTGTGATGGCGTGCTTTTTCGCCAGTTCGACGAGCACCTGCTTCAGGGCCGTTGTGTGTGCCGTCAGCCGGTCGACGCTTTCCGCCGCCGGCACCATCGGCGCTTCGCCCGACAGGAGCTGGATCGTGAAATGCTCGGGAAAACAGATGAACTGCGCGCCATAGCCGCTGGCTGTGCGCACGAAATGGGCCACGCGCTCGAATAGCGCGTCGACCGACCGGGTTTTTTGGAGGGCCATTTGAACGCTGGCCACGCGCAGCTTCTGCTCCGCCATGCTCGGCGCCTTTCGTCAAAAGGCCGCCGGCGTTGCCGCCGACGGCCATCGTCATCGCGTCGGATCGTACCGGCTTAGCCGACCGAGCCGTAAGGGCAGGTGTTGTCCGAACGGAAATCATGCACCTCGATCTCGCCCGAGATGATCTTTTCGCGGGCTTCTTCGACCGCCTGAATCATCTCTTCGGTCACCAGCGGTTCGTTGTTTTCGTCGATCGCCACGCCGACACCGTCCTCCGCGACGCCGAGAACCTGGACGCCGGTGGAGAAGTTGCCTTCCATCCCGTCCTTCATCGCTTCCATGACGGCGACATCGACGCGCTTGAGCATCGAGGTCAGCACCGAGCCGGGCTGCAGATGGTTCTGGTTGGAATCGACGCCGACCGACAGCTTGCCCGCATCGGCCGCTGCCTGCAGCACGCCGATGCCGGTGCCGCCAGCCGCGGCATAGACAACGTCGGCGCCCTGCGAAATCTGCGCGTTGGTGATCTCGCCGCCACGGACCGGGTCGTTCCATGCCGCCGGCGTGTCACCGGTATAGTTGACGATCACTTCGGCATCGGGATTGACCGATTTGACGCCGCCCACATAGCCGCAGGCAAAGGCGGAGATCAGCGGCACGTTCATGCCGCCCACAAAGCCGACCGTACCGGTCTCCGAGGCCTTTGCAGCCATGATGCCGGCCAGGTACGAGCCTTCCTGCTCCTTGAAGACGACCGAGCGCACGTTTGGCTGGTCGACCACCATGTCGATGATGGCGAACTCGGTGTCGGGGAATTCCTGCGCCACCTTGTCGACCGCCTGCGCGGCGGAGAAGCCGGCGATGATGACCGGCGAATGCCCACGTTCGGCGAAGCGGCGAAGCGCCTGCTCGCGCTGGGCCTCGTTCTGGATCTCGAACTCGACATACTCGGTGCCGGTTTCTTCCTTGAACTGCTCGGCGCCGTTGAAGGCGGCCTCGTTGAACGACTTGTCGAACTTCCCGCCCAGATCGTAAACGATCGCCGGCGTTTCGGCATAGGCCGTCGCCGTCATTGCGGATGCGGCCAAAAGACCAAGAACAAAGCGCTTCATTCTCACTTACCCTGTCTGACTGTTTGCATCTTTTGCCGCGCACATGATGGCGCGCGGCCTCCCTGAAAGCGGTTTGACGCCGCCTTGCGCGGACATTGGCACGCCAAATCGCGCCATGTCGACAAAAAAGCGAAGTGAGGTTTGGCGCGCACCGCATCCGGCCCGAAGCATCAGCCTCCGAGAGATCCGGCCGTACGCTTGCGGCGCCTCCGGCCGAGCAGCGCCAGCACCAACGCGAGGCCGCCGAAGACGGCAACGGTCGGCCAGCCTGTCACCGTGGCCAGAATGGGATCGGCCAGCACCGGATGCGCCGCCTCGTCGAGCCATTCGCCCAGGGCGGTGCGCGAACCAGGCGCGATCGCGTCCCAGCTGTCGGCAAGCGGCGTCAGCGTCATGGCCGACGTGCCGATCGATCGCGTGGCATCGACGACCCCTACGATGACCATCATCGCCAGGCAGAAGACGGCCAAGGCTCGAAGAACGAATCGGACCATGCGTTTTGGCTTGTGCCACCCCTTGTGCGGCGTATTGATGTACGCCACCCGCCCCTTCCATTCATTATGGCATTCGCGGGCCGGTGGTCCACCCCGATATCCGTCCGATTTCAGACCCGCTTGATTGTCCGCCTGCGCCGCGCTAGGAGACGGCCCTTCGCGGGCCGGTGAACCGGATTTGCGAAGCGTCCGGCCGTCTGGGCCCGGCGACATATGGCGAGGTGAGGTGGCCGAGTGGTTGAAGGCGCACCGGCGATTTTCCGCATTGCGGAAAACGCCCATCACAAAAAAGGGCGCGTGCGCCTTTTCAACCCGCTCGGCGGGTTTCGCCGGGTGACATATGGCGAGGTGAGGTGGCCGAGTGGTTGAAGGCGCACCGGCGATTTTCCGCATTGCGGAAAACGCCCATCACAAAAAAGGGCGCGTGCGCCTTTTCAACCCGCTCGGCTGGTTTCGCCGGGTGACATATGGCGAGGTGAGGTGGCCGAGTGGTTGAAGGCGCACGCCTGGAACGCGTGTAGGCGGGAAACCGTCTCCAGGGTTCGAATCCCTGTCTCACCGCCAGTCCTTCTGCAAGTTCGTGCCTTCTGCGCATCGCCGCCGGGCGAACCTTGCGCCATAACCGATGCTACGGCGCCGTGCGATGTTCCGCCGTGACCTCGAGGGCGCGGTCGGCGTGCGCATCACCGCCATTGTCGCGGCGATGAGCGGCAATGACCCTGTCGCGCGTTCGGATCAACTCGGCGATTTCGTTTTCGTGCGCTGCCAAAACCGCCGTCAGCCACCGGTTTACCAGGTAGTTCGGTTGCGGCATGTGCACATCGAAGCGCGGCAACAGCGCGATCGTCGGCCCGGCGTCGAGCCAGTCGTCATCGACCACCCAATGGTTGACCGTGAACAGGCGCAGCAGCCGGCCATGCGGATCGACCCCGACCGCGCACAAATGGTGAATCGGCCCGTCCGGGCCATCGGGCCGGACGAAGCAGTGGAAATGGCCGTGCTCACCCCCGCCTGTCGATGGATCGTGGCTGTGATAGAACCATTGCGCCCCGGTTTGCGGGTCGAACACCTCGCCGGCCGGGTATTTTTCCCAGCTCGTTGGTCGTTCGATGCCGGCCAGTGTTTCGGTCAGTACGGTTGCGCCGCCCTTGGCCAGCACATGCTCGCAAAACGCAATCTCGCGGCGGGCAGTATCACGCGCGTCTTCGCTCACGTTTCGCTGTCCGGAACGAGATCCGGCGCTTCGGTGGTCCCTTCGGGCAGGCGTGCCGGCGGGGGTGGCGGTGGCGCGGCCCGTTCGGTCCGGGCGGCGGGCAAGGGCGCGGGCGGAGGCGGCGGGGCCGCGAGCGGCGCTGCGGCGGCGCAAGGGGCGGCCGCCGCACAGGGCGCGGCGCCGGCCGCGCATGGCGCCACGCCACCGGCGGCCGGTGCGGAAGCAGCGGCAGGCGCCGGCGTCGGCACGCCATTTTCGGCATGGTCATAGGCAACCGCCGCCGTCGTCACCGCCAGCGCGGCGGCGAACAGGGCGGTGTTGCGCGACCGGCTCATGCCGCCGCGCCTTGGCGCCCGAAGCCATCGAGCCCGAACAGGGGCCGGGCGAACACGCCGGCCGCCGAGCCGGCAAAGGCGGCGGCGAACCACAGCCAGCCATGCAGGCTGCCCGATGCGATGCCGGAGAAAAGAGCGCCGATGTTGCAGCCAAAGCTCAGCCGCGCGCCATAGCCCATCAAAAGGCCGCCGAGCGCCGCTGCGGCGAATGACGCCAGCGGAACAGCGGCCCTGGGGGCGAATTTGCCGGCAAGCGATGCGGTCAGCGCCGCCCCGAGAATCAGTCCGAAATTCATCACCGAAACCGAGTCGGCAAGCACGGAACTGGACAGCGCCTCGGCCTGCGCCGGCCATGTCCAGAATTCCCAGTTTTCGACCGGCACCCCCGCCGCCGACGCGATCTTGGCGCCCCAGAGGCCGAAGCCATAGGTGATCGACCAGGGGTGGCCGGCAACGATCAGGGTGGCGATGTTGAGAAGGGCCAGCATCAGACCTGCACCGACCAGCGGCCAGGGCCCCGACAGCAGCCAGTTCCAACCCGGGCGGCGCGGGCCCGGATCGCGCTCCAGATCGCCATGGGCGCGACGTTCGATCATCGCGGTGATGAGAGCCACGGCGCCGAGACCGGCCAGTGACACCGCGATGGCCGCGGGCACGCCAAGCGTCTGGCCCAGGCTCACCGGCGGCAGCGACGGCTGGCCGAGCCACCATGGCAGATGCGCCGTTCCGACAACGGCGCCGGCGATGAAGAAGATCAGGGTCACCAACATGCGCGCAGAGCCGCCGCCGACCGTGAACAGCGTGCCCGAGCCGCAGCCTCCGCCAAGCTGCATGCCCAAGCCGAACATCGCCGCGCCGACCAGCACGGAGACGCCCACCGGCGCGATGGCGCCGACCAGCGGCTGGTTGCCGACGCTGCCGGCCGCCAAAAGCGGCATCATCGCCAGCCCGGCCAGCCCGATCATCAGCATCTGCGCGCGCATGCCCCGCCCACGCCGCTCGACCACCATGCGCCGCCAGGCGCCGGTGAAGCCAAAGGACCCGTGATAGAGCGCCGCGCCAAGCCCGCCGCCGATCAGGAACAGCGTCGCCTGCCGCAGATCGACCAGCAGCCAGATCGCGGCAAATCCCGCCGTCAGGAACGCGGCGGCCACCGCCGCGGGGCTGCGGTCGATGACGGCGTCGGGCAGATAAGGGTTCGACGCGTTCGGCGTCGACGACGTTGCAACGTTCTGCAACATGTGGCGCAACCTCTGTGAAGCCGCCTTTATAGCCGATCCGGCGCGCGGCGGAAGCCGGGCGCCGGCTGGTTGATGGCGGTCGCTTTACTGGATCGCGCGCGGCGGATCGAGCGGACGCGCGGGGTCCTGTGTCCATTCCGACATGGAGCCGTCATACATGGCCGACTGTTCGTTGCCGAGCACTTCGCTCAGCCCGAACCATGCGACCGAAGCCCAGTGACCGGTGTTGCAGAATGTGATGTTGGCTTCGTCCGCTCTAACGCCGACCGCCTCGACCAGGGCCTGAACCGTTTCGGGTTGCGCGAACAGCGCGAACTCGGCGGAATAGAACTCCGAATGCGGCAGGTTCACCGAACCGGGAATGGTGCCGGGCGCGGCCGCGACCGGGCTTTTCGTCTCGCCGCGGAACTGCTCGACCGGGCGGCCGTCGACGAGCTTGGTGCCGTCGTCGAGCGCGGCCAGAACGTCATCGGTTGTGGCAAGGACCGCCTCGTTCAGCGTGACCTCGAATTCGGAAACCTCGGCTGTGACCGGTTCGGCGACGCGCGCGCCGCCGACGGCATCATATTGGCGCCAGCCGCCATCGAGGATCGAAACATCGTCATGGCCCAGATAGCGGAACGTCCAGTAGACGCGGGTGGCCGAGCCGAACTCGGTCGAATCGGTGCCCCACGGCACGATGACGACATGGTCGTCATTGTCGATCCCCAGGCTCTCGATCAGGCCGGTTACGTCCTCGATGGCAGGAATCTTGCCCGGCACACCGTCGATCTCGGTGCGCCAGCCGGCAGTGTTGTAGGGCGCAGACACCGCACCTTCGATATAGGGGCTGTCGCCAAGGTCGGTGTTTTCGACATTGGCGCGAATGTCGACGATGACGATATCGTCATTGCCGGCATGGTCGATCACCCACTGGGCGCTGACGAGAGGCCCGGCACCATCATGGGCCAGCGCGGGCATGGCGGATGCGGCAAGCGCCGCGATTGCGATGTTGATGCGGTTCATGGGTTTGTCCTTTCGATGGCGTGCGGCCGGAATGCCCGGCGGTCTGCCAATCCAAACTTCCGCGAAAATAGCCGTGCCGCGGCGCTCAAACGAGGCATCGGCGCCGCAAGGGAGGGGCTGGCGGAGGAAATTTTTTCCGATGCGGCGGCAGTTTGCAGTACGTCCGTGCGATTTTTCCGCACCGGCCGAGCGGTTTTGCAGCAAGGTCCGGGGGGGGGGACGACCCTTGGCCTAACGTCGGCCACGTCAGCCTTGGCCGGTCGTGGCGGGCATCGCCGAAGGCATTTCGAATCCTTGACGGTTTTGTGACGTTCTTCAGGTCAGCGCAGGGCGCCGATTCCGACCGTTGGACAGCACAATTTTCCTGACCGATTAATCAGCATTATCAGATAGTTGATGGCTGCCGGGCGCCGATCGTCCGCAGCCGGTACGGCCACCCCCACACCGTTGACACAAATCCTTCACGGGACTGTCATCGACCTTACAAACGGGCCTCCTATTCGACCTTGTGCGTATCGCAATTTTCCCGGGAGACCTATGATGTGGAAAACGCTTCTGGCGGCTGGCGCCCTTGCGCTGACGACCGCTGCGGCCCAGGCCGAAAAAATCGAGATCGAACTGTGGCATGCCATGGGCGGCGCCCTTGGCGAGGCGACCAACGCCGTTGCCGAGCAGTTCAACGCCAGCCAGGACAAGTACAACCTGACGCCGGTCTACAAGGGCAACTATGAAGAAACGCTGACGGCCACCATCGCCGCCTTCCGTGCCGGTGAACAGCCCAACATCGTTCAGGTGTTCGATGCCGGTGCCGCCACCATTATCGGTGCCGAGGGCGCCGTGATCCCCGCCCAGGACCTGATCGAAAATGCGGGCCTCGAGTTCCGCACCGACTACATTCCCGGCGTTGCCAACTTCTATGCCGACGAAAACGGCAAGATGGTCGGCATGCCCTTCAACTCATCGACCCCGATCCTCTACTACAATGTCGAGGCTCTCGAAAAAGCCGGCGTAGAGCCGCCCAGGACCTGGGAAGAATTCCAGGAAATCGCGCCCGCGCTGAAAGAAGCCGGCTATGTTCCGATGGCGCAGTCGCACCTGCCCTGGATCTTCACCGAAAACTTCATGTCGCGCCACAATCTGCAGTTCGCCACCAATGCGAACGGCTATGAAGGCGCCGAAGGCACCCGGCTCCTGATCAATGTCGAGCCGATCAAGGCCCACTTCGCGGCCGTCAAGGAATGGATCGACGCCGGCCTGTTCGGCTATTACGGCACCGGCTGGGGCGACAATCAGGCACCGTTCGAAAACGGCGAAGTGGCCATGTGGCTCGGCTCGTCCGGTTCGTTCGGCGGCCTCAAGCAGTCGGCCGGCTTCGAGTTCAGCGCCACCTATCTGCCCTATTGGGAAGCGGTCACCGAAGAGCCCTACAACACCTTCATCGGCGGTGCCGCGCTGTTCGCCATGTCCGGCCAGCCCGAGGAAGAGAATGAAGCCGCGGCCGCATTCTTCCAGTTCCTGTCCTCGCCGGAGCCGCAGGTCTTCTGGCACAAGGAAACCGGTTATGTGCCGATCACCGCGACCGCCTACGAGCTGGCCAAGGCCGAAGGCCATTATGACCAAGAGCCCGCAGCCGAAGTTGGCATCAGCCAGCTCCAGCAGCCCGGTGGCGACTGGACCAAGGGCTACCGGATGGGCTTCTACGTCCAGATCCGCGACGTGATGAACCGCGAATATGGCCGCATCTTCTCCGGTGAAGCGACCGTCGACGAGGCGTTCGACATCATCGAGGAAGAAGGCAACCGCCTGCTCGAGCGCTTCGCGCAGACCCAGAGCGGCTGACCCATCCGGCAAACCGATCGAACCCGGGGGCGCGCCGCGCTCCCGGTTCTTGCCTTGGCTCTCGCACTGGACAGGCCATGCACAAAGCCCAGTTTCAATCGCCGCTCTATCCCTATCTGCTCCTGCTGCCGCAGATGGCGATCGTCGCCATCTTCTTCCTGTGGCCGTCCGCCGAGGCGGTGCGCAGTTCGTTCTTTCTTCAGGATCCGTTTTTCGGCAACGAAACCTTTGTCGGCATCGACAACTACACCGATGCCGTGACCCGTTCGGACTATGGCCGGGCTGCCTGGTTCACCTTCCTGTTCACCGTGGTCGTGACGTTTTTTTCGCTCGGCATAGCGTTGCTGCTGGCGGTGGCCGCCGACAATGTCCTGCGCGGCCAGGGTCCCTACAAGACGCTCCTGATGTGGGTCTATGCAATCGCGCCACCCGTTGCCGGCCTGATCGGCATCATGCTGTTCGACCAGCACATCGGCCCGATTGTCGATTTCTTCGCCCTGTTCGGCTGGGACATGCGTGTCGGCGTCGACTATTGGGACAGCGGTATCGCCATGATGATCGTGGCGACCTGGAAGCAGATCCCGGTCAACTTCATCTTCTTCCTGTCCGGCCTGCAATCCATACCCAAGGGGGTGCGCGAAGCCGCCTCGATCGACAATCCCAGCGCGTCCGGCCGGTTCTGGACGATCATCTTTCCGCTGCTGGCGCCAACCAGCTTCTTCCTGATGATCATCAACATCACCTATGCCTTCTTCGAGACCTTCGGCATCGTCGACGTCATGCTCAAGGGCGAGCCGGGCAACAATCCCGTGACGCTCGTCTACAAGGTGTTCCTCGACGGTTTCCGCGGCAACGATCTGGGGGGATCGTCCGCGCAATCGGTTATCCTGATGGTGTTCGTGCTGGCGCTCACCATCGTCCAGTTCCGCCTGATCGAGCGACGGGTGCACTACACATGACCCGAGCCGGACGGACCATGCGGAGGCCGCGATGAGCCAGGACCAGATCGCCGTGACGGGCAAGCCGGTCGTCCCGGCCGCACCATCGGCTTCGGCAACCGGCGCCGGCGCGTTCGTGCGCCGACACCAGATTGTCGAGCATATCGTCCTTTTGTTCGGCGTGCTCTTGATGATGGGGCCGATCGCCGTTGCATTCACCACATCGACGCATGACCCGGTCACCATTCACTCCGAAGGCATGCAACTCGGTTTCGGAGACAATTTTCTGCCGACTTACGAGGCGGTCATCTTCGAACAGACCGGTTTCACCAAGCAGGTCACCGGCTGGGGCATGTCGCTCAACTCGCTGATCCTCGGACTGGGTTTCGCCATCGGCAAGATCATCGTGTCGATGCTGGCCGCCTATGCCATCGTCTATTTCCGCTTTCCGCTGGGCACGCTGTGCTTCTGGATCATTTTTTCGACGCTGCTGCTGCCGCTGGAAGTGCGCATTCTGCCATCCTACGAAGTGGTTCAGGGACTGGGGCTGCTGAACAGCTATACCGGCCTTATCCTGCCTTTGATCGCTTCGGCCACCGGCACCTTCTTCTTCCGCCAGTTCTTCAAGTCCGTGCCCAATGAACTGCTTGAGGCGGCGCGGATCGACGGCGCCGGCCCCTTCCGCTTCTTCTGGGACATCCTCGTCCCGCTGTCGCGGACCATGATCGCCGCCATCTTCATCATCATGTTCGTCGTCGGCTGGAACCAGTATCTGTGGCCGATCCTGATGACGACGGACGAGAGCTTCTACACCGTGGTGCGCGGCATCCGGCAGATCCTCCAGGTCTGGATCGGCGCGGACATCCCCGACTACAACGAGGCGTTGGGTCTGGCGATCATTGCGATGATTCCGCCGGTGCTCATCGTCATCATATTCCAGCGCATGTTCATCAAGGGCCTTGTGGAGAGTGAGAAATGACGACGCTCGAGATCAAGCAGGCGGTCAAGCGCTATCCGAACGGCGCGCTCGCCGTCAAAGGCGTCGATGTCACCGTCGAGGACGGCGAACTGGTGGTCTTTGTCGGCCCGTCGGGTTGCGGCAAGTCGACATTGCTGCGCATGGTCGCCGGCCTGGAGAGTGTGACCGAAGGCGAGATCGTGCTCGACGGACGGCTGGTCAACGAGGTTGAGCCGGCCAACCGGAACATTGCCATGGTGTTCCAGAACTATGCGCTCTATCCGCACATGTCTGTCTACAAGAACCTCGCCTACGGCCTTAAGAACCGCGGTACGCCGAAGGCCGAGATCGATGCCAAGGTGCGCGAGGCGGCCAAGCTCCTGCAGATCGGCGACTTTCTCGAGCGCAAGCCCAGCCAGCTGTCGGGCGGTCAGCGCCAGCGGGTCGCCATGGGCCGCGCCATCGTCCGCGATCCGGCCATCTTCCTGTTCGACGAGCCGCTGTCCAACCTTGACGCCAAGCTGCGCAACCAGATGCGGCTCGAGATCAAGCGCCTGCAGCGCCGTCTGGGTACGGCGGCGATCTACGTCACCCACGACCAGGTCGAGGCGATGACGCTGGCCGACCGGATCGTCGTCCTCAACAATGGCGAGATCGAGCAGATCGGCACGCCCGCCCAGGTCTATGGCGCGCCCGCATCGACCTTCGTTGCAAGCTTCATCGGCGCACCGCCGATGAACCTTCTGAAAGCGCAGACCGGCGACGGCGCGATCGTCATCGGCGAAACGCGTATCGAGGCACCGGTGCGCGCCAACGGACCCGTCACGCTCGGCATCCGCCCGGAGCGCGCGCATCTGGCCAATGGCTCCGGCGGCGCCGACGGGCCGCCCATGAAGGTCGATACCGTTGAGGAACTGGGCGCCGTGCGGCTGATCCACGGATCGGTCGGGGGCCAGCATTTCACGGCCAACCAGTCTGCCGACGAGCCGATACCCGGCGACCAGGTACGGCTGCGCCTGCAGGCCGATGATCTGCACCTGTTCGACCATGGCACGGGCCGTCGGCTGTGAGCTTCGCCGGTATCGTTGGCGCCGACGGCGACCGGCCGCCACGCTGGCTCGATGTGCGGTTCGATGCGGCGGGCGCGCCGCTTCGCTGTTCCGGCAACACCATGGTCTGCCACCTGCGCGACGACGCCGGCCGCGCCGCGGTGTCGCAGA